AGTGAAGAGGAGATTACCTGGAGGTAAGGATCAACAACAAAGTTATCTGACGGTCAGTGACACAACCAACAACCTTTTGCTCAGTAAATATCCAGAAAGAAATGAAGACGGACTGGATAGACACTGCAGAGACCGTTGAGTGACAGAAATCATTCGCCAAGCATACCATCAAGAGTAACCCAAAGTGACAAGGAGTAACAAGTGTTACATGAAGGTGATCATGTGATGAGGAGGAAATGAAAGCTTGTCAGAAATAGTGGAGCCAACTGAATGTGATGACAGTCAAACTAGTACAATGGAGATGTCTCTCTGATGCTCTAATAATAAGATTAACTACGACACATAACATCATCCATAATCAAAGTTGTTCTGACATCATTAAATTAATTAATCCCCTTTGTTCTTACACTCTTTTTTGAATAATTTAACGTATAATTGGCTGAGTATAATATAGAGGCCAGCCTAGTAGGCATACCGGCCCTATATATGTAACAACAGAAGACAAGGGCCGGCAACAGATGGTTTTATTACGGAAATCAACACGTATTTATGTATATTTCCTCTACATTATTATAGCTTATTCAAGTAGACAAACGCAGTCTTCTGATCGGTTGTTTCGGGTAACCTCAGAAAAAAAAGGGGCCATCTATCTGCGAATCATATAAGTCTGCTGTGATTGGTTGTTGAATCAGCCTTGTTCATATTTTCTTACGGCCAATATTAGTGACCTAGACATTGACGTAGATGAATGTCTACCAATTGGCTAGCAGCCTGCTCTCACCACATATATACATCATAAACTTATAATTTCGCTCACGTGACTAGTATTGAACGTGTCTAGCCATTAAAACTGCCCTATGATTGGGCATTTATATTTTTGAGGCATAATAGAACTTTTATTTTATATATAGATATTAACAATCTATGAAATGTTTGATAACTATGCAAGGCATGATTGGTCAGCTGACCAACTGAGCGACCTATTAGTTGATTGATTGGTTTAAAAGAAAGTAGAGCTTTTAGGCAAAAACGCATCCACTGAAAACACCAGACATACACACACACAAAAAAAATTAGAATCAGTTAATCCCTTACAAACTGATACTTATAAGTCAACCCACTGCTGCCGCTGCTTATTGTTCCTTAATCAGACATGATTCTAGATTGTGGAATTACTGAAGAAGAAGAAGAAATGTACTAATTGGAAATATCGACTTATCTGGATTGGAATTAACCCGTTTGTGTTGTTATTTGTGGGATATAGTCAGTTAACTGGTTGAAAAGATCCCCGAGTCGGGCTTCAGTATCTATTTTACTGACAAGATTTCTCTTGCGATACGGAATATGAATTCGCTTGAGAGTGTTTCAGTCTCAGAATGATTTGACGAGGATGTATCCGTCAGGAAAACTAGTCTCTCTACTCCGCACAGTCAAAAGTCGACAGTTATCCTTCATATGCTACCTCCAACGGTGTACATCAATATATGCATGACTTTGGGAGCAGTAACACTTGGAGAGACAGAAAGAACAGCCTATGTCAGATTTTTTGAACATGTACTAAAAAGTATGAACGCGTCAATTAACCAGCATCATGCACTTGTCCTCATTTGTGAATTTGAATCAAACAAGAATGGGAGTTTGTGAGGAATAAGGTGGTACCGTGATATATTTTGTTGGTTTCTCATCAGTTGAGTACACCCTTGAGACATTAATTTTAATTTTTATTATAGCTTGATTCCACACAGTATTTTTGGTACAAATATGGAATTTTCAGCATATGATATCGGTAGCCCAAATTTCGCAAGCCGACCATGGATATCAGGTGTACGTCGGCGTGGGCTCGAACCCCGGACCACGTGGATAATCAGCGAGAGTCCTAACCACTGTGCCACCGACGCACAGTCTTATTATTAAGTTTATGTACAGAAATATTTTAACATACAATTGCTACATAGTGTCAGTTGACAGGAGACTTCAAACTTATTAAACAGTGCTTAGAAATTAAACTTATCGAGTTTATACCCAGGAAGTCCTAGTCTAAACAAGAATCAATGATTAGATACAATGACAAAGAAATTTATATAATAAAGATGAGAGAAGAATGCAATGATGAGTAGCTAATAAACTGAGTAGGAATGTAGCGAGTTCAGCTCAAATCATAGAAACAAGAGACTAGCAGAGTTACACTATCTCAAAGGGGGAATAGGTTAAAGCCGAAGATTCGACAGTCGAACGAAGACAAAATAAGGACATCCAGGTACCAGGATAAGGAAAGACTGATAACTGCTTCTTTCTGAACACATAAATCGGGTTTTCGGCGTTCAAAAGAGATCGTTTGGGTGAACTTGAAAAGAATTGAACTATTTTGTCAACTGATGGTTTTAAAAGATTTCATAGTGTTCATCCTATGACGCTTATTGACGAGATGTCCGGCAATGGCGTTATTATAAACGTATGTTTCTCTGAGATGTAGGCTTCCTGCTATACGTTCAGGAAATTGAAGATTTCCCCAGTGTAACTGCTACCGCAGATACAAACAACTTCTTCTACACAGTTGGAATTAACACGAGAAGGGTATCTGGTAACCGTTTTTATTGCACCAAAGAGCATGTTGTCCGATAAACTGGAAACAAATTAACTGCACGATAGGTTCTAACTATCGAGATATTCAGTATTCTATTGACTATTCCTGCAATATCTTCACCCTTAAAATCGAGTTGAATGAAGATTGGCCACTTTTCCACTGTAATTTGTTTTGCGTTCTAACCTTCACATCTCTCATACTTGTTAATAAATTTCTGAGGGTGACCATTGTTTTTCAACATCTTTTCGAGAATCAAAATTTGTTTCTCTAGTTTCTGTGTAGAGCATATTCTCCTGACTCTATAAACCAGAGTTTTGATAGCTATTCGAACAAAAACTATTAAAATGCAAATATTATCCATTCCATGCACGCTTTTGGTAAATTGATCTCTACAGACTAACATCCTCCATGTGTTGTATGACGACGTCAAAGAAGTGAAACTTTCCATCATTTTCATGTTCCATAGCAAATTCAATATTGGTATGTGCATCGTTGAATAGTCAAAGTGGGTAAAACGCATGACTCATTTCGTTGTATACTACGGATGACGCAACAGATATTTTGGTGCATTTTTATATGCAATGATTCTCTGACTTTTAAATCTTTAAGAAGGGCTGCTATCTAATTCACGACATCTATCAACTGGTAGCTAAAAAATGTCAAGTATTTTAACCAATAATAATAAGGATTTCAGTTTTACTCAAATATATTTCTACTATCGATATGTGCGGATGATACATTTCTGGTCATGAAAAACGAGAATGAAGCAATGAACATGCTCGAAAAGTTTAATGATGCCCATTCAGCAATACACTTTACCATAGAGAAGGGAAGTAATGACAGTATCTCATTCCTAGACGTCTCCATGGCAAGGAAGGAAGATGGCATACTAAGAAGGAGTGTGTATAGGAAACCAACTACAACAGGTCAGTACACTCATTTTCTGAGTTTTGTGCCTTTGAAATATAAACGTAACCTGGTAAAGTCTCTGATTCATAGATCTAGGTTAATCTGTTCAGACGACTGCCTCGATGAGGAGCTTAAGATTATTAGAGAATTACTTAGAAAAAATGGTTATCCAGATAAGTTTATTGAGAAAAATATGAATTCATCACCTAGGACAGTCACTTTGGCAACAGTTCCGAAAAATCCACTGTTCATAAAACTGCAGTTCCTCGGTGACAACATCAGCGAAATAATAACACAGCGCCTGAAGAAGGCTGTTAAAAGAGCTTGTTATGCAGCAGAGGAACATTGTCTCTTCACAACCACTCCTATTCTAAGTTCGAAAAATAAGGATAAACTACCTAAATTTGCCTCCGCCATGTGTATCTACCAGTCTGACTGCAGCTGCGGAGCCAGCTACATCGGGCGTACAATTAGGCAGGTTCATCATCATATTTCCGAACATCATCCAGCATGGTTAAGCAAGGGACAAACAAGATCTATTTGTGGCTCTATCTCAGCACACCTTGTAGATAGTGAGCATAAGGTTGATGTTAATACTGCATTTAAAATTATTTATCGCATAACTCCATTACGGATAAGATTTTATTTTGATAAGTCACACAGTGTTACTCTACCACAGTGCCCAAGTTTTATACTTACATAAATAATTATTTATCGCATTTCTACTAATCTTAATTTTGCTTTACGAGTTCGTCTTCTACATACAGCTGAAGCCGTAGGAATCCACCTGAAGAAGCCAAACTTGTGTGTTCAGAAGAAAACTGTACACCCACTTTCCTTACCTTGGCCATCATCACATGAATTTGTAAACCGGACTACTTTGCTCATCAACCTTTAAAAATTATAATTGTCGAAATGATTTTATTATTTTATTAACTAATTCATCTTTAATTACATGTTATCATTGTTGTAATCATTTCTACCATTTAGTCGTTTGCATTATCTATCCTGGTTACTATCAAGCCCCTTGACATGTTGATATTGATTAATTATTGTGTATTCTGATGAAAAATGCTATAGTTATATATAAGGGTAGAGCCAGAGTGAGGTGAAGATCTAATTGAAAAGTAAATATTTCTCTACTCAAACCTTTCACTTTCTAAATGTCTAAATGGGAATTTTTTCTATTATCAGTGAACTGACTGGCTGGATGGCTGGGGTAATTTATACTTAGAATAAGTAGAGATTAAAATACTTTTCATCCTAACGGTTGAACCAGATCCTCATTAGGGTCAGTAGTGTATACTGCTGAAGAGTGATAAACAAGGAAAGAAACAGGTGTTCCTATACAGCCTTATTTTTAGCGGTTCTTTAACTGATGTCGCTTCACATTGTGAAACTTATCTTGAATTTATCATTTTGATCCCTAAGTCACAAACACACACAGAAACACATGGATAGACAGAAAGACAAGCAAAAACCATTGGAAAAAAGTATGTATACTCACTGATCTTGTTTATTTCTAATAGTTTGTTGTAAATGAGCAATTTTCGCTAAACTCTCAGCTTTTTCACGTTCACATTCATCAACCAAATGGCGTAATTGTTTCAATTCTGTATTGTACATTGAACGAATTTTTTCAGTTTCTTTAGTTAATCGATTCATTGATCCCGTATCATTCATTAACTTTTTATTTTGTTCAGATAAAATACGCATCTAGATGAAAAGAGAAAACAACCGAGAAATTATTTAAATTAAAAACAATCAGTAACTTTGTTTATTTCAGTTTAATTTCACTGATTGCGTAATCATCTTAACAGAATATGAAGTCAAAGCTGATGGGCTATCCAATGCATCAGATTCCGTTCTAGGGCTGAATGCATAAAAGTTCACGTAAATTTGAGGTTAAAAGGTAAGTTCGATCCCTAGCAGTGAGATTATGGGTGTGCTTTGATGATGAGTGATAAACAAGGACGAAACAGCTGTTCAGTACTTCTTGGCGGTTATCAGTGGTTCTCTAAACTAAGTTGATTCATGATCGAATCTGAAACCTTTGATTACAGGACAAAGTTGCCTGAAGTCGTAAATGGAAGTCGTGCTTCAGCAGTGTCAAACGATTTCGGTGTAAGAATAGATAATCGCTGATGCTATTGGTTGGTGGTCACTCCATATATTTATTTATTTTATTACAGCTTGATTCCACACTGTATTTTTGGTACAAGTGTGGAATTTTCAGCATGTAATATCGGTAGCCCAAATTTAGCAGGCCGACCATTGATATTGGGTGTGCGTCAACCGGGATTTGAACTCCGGATCATGTGCATGGTCAGCGAACGTCCTAACCGCTGTGCCACCGACGCAAAAGGTGGTATCAGGAGTGGGATTCGAACCCACGCCCACGGAGTGGACGTAGAAGTTATGATTCATTGACTGGTCACTGGATTCCATTCCAGCGGCTGAATGGTTAACAAGAACACCTTGTAATTTGATGGGATCATAGGCACCTACTTCTGAAGAGTATCAAAACGAAATAGATATCCACTACTTCCTGGTTTCCACTAGTTCTCTGACTGATGTTGGTTACTGAGCAATTTTGAAAATTACAGGGATCAAATACATCATTTGTAAATTATACTGACTGACTGACTGGTTTCAACATACAACTCTGCACAGATGTGCAACATTTCGAGCTGCTACTCTCCATCTAGCACAAAAAGCAAGAGGATAGAGTTAAAGAGATTCAAAAGAATTAAAATAAGCAGAAATGTGAGTGACAGAGAAAAGAGTAGTAATATGCAAGAACAATAGAGTTTTACTGGATATGACAAATCATGAAGAGTGAATGCACCTGCGCCAACCATCGAGAAAGATTTTGAGTCATATCATCAATTGTTTCTCCCGAGGACTCCAACCAGGAAGTCTACACCTCCCTGAGTGGCTGGCTTAAAATAAACTGTTATGGATTTCATTGACTGATGAAGTCATTTTTTAGTCTGACCACCACGTGCTTCCTCTTTTCCAACCTGATCCTATGTTAGCTAACATTATAGTCGATTCTGAGGGGTAGAACACTCAACACAGTTTCTTTTGGAAATTCAACTATGAGAATATGTGATTGATTTGCTTCAGACTATAGTAGGTGGTAATCAAGAAAGCAAATAAGAAAAAGATAGCATGAATGTATATACTACTGACTGACTGATGTATAAAAGTAGTCGGAAATCACTCATATCACCATTAGTGTTTGCCAGTCAGGCAAATCGAAGTCACCTAAATACCGGACAGGTTGTTTTAGTTCATTTGACATCGAGCTTATGAGTTGTGTGTACCAGCTTTCATTCGATTCAGTGAAAAGAGTGCCGAATTAATCCAAACCACTTTAAACCTTGTTAGGCACTTCAACGAAATGGTAACAAATGAAATCAAATCTTCAATTATTGGTTTGTAGGGAGATTTGATTGACTTGGTTACAGGATTTCATCATGAGCTGATGTCGATTAGACAGCCATTGGATAACAAGCTGCGAGTACTGGACAGCCAGCTGTTTCGTCAGCCTAGTTTGAAACTCTTCAGTAGTACGCACCCACACCGTGAGGTTCGAATCCAGGACCTTCTGGTTACAAGACGAGCTCGTAGTCCATTAAACCACTGGGACCCGATCCAACGGCCCATGAATTCTAACTTCTGCCAAATCTCTAGATGAAAAAGCATTGCTAGTTGACAAAAATGGTTTCCAACTTATCATATTAGTCAGTCAGTAGTAGACACAATCATAAAATCTGTTCACTTTCTTGATTGTCATTTATAGTAGTATCAAGCAGACAGACAAACTGTAGTCCGAAAATTTCTAGCTTCCAAAGGAAACTGTGGCATATTTTAAACTCGAGCTTCAGTTAATAAATTCAGTGCGTTGAGAAAATAATCTGCAGAGCCAACAGAAGATATTTGAAAGATATTGGTTCTGTAGGGATTTTGTTTGATTGTATGGAGGATTTCATCATGAGCTGACATCAGTTAGAGAACCACTGGAAAACCTGGGAGTACTGGACAACTGTTTCTTCCTAGTTCGGGACCCTTCAACAGTACGCACCCACCAGGGTTCAAAAGTTCATTCTTTCACTTAACACGGTAGGCAGTATCATTTCAGCTACAAGCCGTATGGATGAAGATGTCAAAGTCAGGATCTCAGAAGTGCGAGAAAGACTTTCATTACTCAGAAATCAGTCTGGAAGTCTCCAGTACTAAACATAAAAAACAAGATCTAGAATCTTGACATTAGCGTTAAGAAACTGCTCCTATTGTATTTCCAAAAAATGACTTAAGACTTTCATTAACACTTGCCTATTGCCACTCCTTATAATGAAGGTCAGATGACCAGGCGGAAAGGATTACCATCAAGGAACTCCAGTAACCAGCTAACCAAGAACCTACTGCTCAACAAGTATACCGAAGAAAGTGAAGAGGAATTAGACACACTTTGAGGAGATCGTTGACTGATACCACACGCCACACATACCCTCTAGTGGAACCTGAATGGTAATAAGTACTACGATGTTTGAGGGTGATATGGAGGAGATCATATGAGGTGGAGAAAAGAGACTAAAGACAATCATGAGGCCATCTTAAGATGGCTGCAAAGATTGGAACAAACTGGAGGTGCACTGTTGAAGCCCAATACTCCACTTGGAAGCTAAGGGAATAATAATAATAATGATAATCCACAGCTCCCCTAACAGTATTCGTGCATATATATATATATATATCAAACTGTTGGAAGCAATCGACAGGAAGCCTTGTCTGACCTCGGTTTCGTGCTAGTTAGCACTCACCTGGCAGCAAGGCGGCGTATCTGCAACCGTGAGGGAACTCATGCCCTTTGTAGATTCAAAGCCGCGTCACCTAGTGCCGCTTGCAGTCAGAGACGTTGCCACTGAGCTATTCGGGCTCACGATTGACCACCTGTAGGACTCTATTGGATATTTTTGATTGGACACTAGTCAGTAACTAGTTTAATGTGTGTCTAGTCCTATCTTTGGTGCAGACTAAACTCTATCAATTCCAACGCCGATTGCCTCCAACCATCTAATACCAACAATTCATAGTGCACCGTGATGGAGAGCCACCTAGTGGCATGGCGGCCATATTGCAAACTTGACTGATAGAATTCAGTCTGCACCAAAGATAGGACTAGACACAAACACTATACTGGACACTGACTGGTGTCCAATCAAATATATGTATTCTTCGCATTCCAAGGGAACATAGGGCCCTGAGCTTCAAGCTTTGAAATTTCAGTATAGGTGTTGGTTTTCTACGGAGTGGAGTTACTGTAACATAATAATTGCTTGGAAAATCCAACCCCCCCCCACCCCTCAACGATCTAATCACAATATTTCTACTTATTTGGATGCCTTAACTAAATTTGTGAATATTATTATCCATTTTTCTCCTGGACCATGTCATTGCTCTGACCTTTGTATATCATATGTTGATCTGATCTCTATTATTTGTTCTCCTTCCTGTTTAATCTCGAGTTTTAATGCTTCTCTTTGTAATTGTGAAATACATCGATGATACGTTGTTTTACGATGTGATTTTGTTTGAGTGAATCAATGGTCATTCTGACCCATTCTGACTGTCTGTGGGACGCCATGCTGTGTCATTCTCGTGGCCAAAGTTTTTAATCCCAACTTGTTGGGAGTATTCTCCTTGATTCTAAAGCACTTCTAACAGTTGAATTTTGGTTAACTAATTTTGTTCTACAGTGTTTCTTTTATGCGCCTAGGATACCTGTCTAACGACACTGTTGACGTAATTTTGAGTTGATGTTGTCACTGTTATTATTACACATAGATTCAACCAAGAATAATCGTCTTTTCGCTACCTTTGGAGCATTTTATGCCTGTGTGAGTCTCAAAGAAGTCTCAGGCAGCTATACAGCAGGACGCAAAAATCACTTTCTTGCGTTCAGACCACATCACAACGAGTCATTATGGTCAGTTACAGTTACTAATCACACGCCTACCCAACCTTCCCGCTTTCTCTGTTCACTACCAAACAGGAAACTAGTCGGGGATTAGAAGAATGTTGTGCCTAAATTATCTTGGGACATTTGGAACGTTTATTCTATCATTTTGTCAACAAAAAAATTTAAATTAGCTTAAAGTTATTAAAACATTGGCTTTGACTCCGAGAACCATAAAACTGCTAATTAAATTTGTGAAACTAGTCTGTATGAAGAGTTCAGTTGAACAAATGTACCTTAATTGTTTTCATTTGGTAAATTAAAGAGTGTGTCATGGATAAATCAGAGAAGCCCTATTCTTTCTGTTCTATCAGGAAAGACTTCATCATGAGTATATACCAGTTGACCTCCACGAAAAGGTAAACGGTAATGAACTGATATTTCGTCTCACATCGCCGACTCATCAGTAATGCCTGGACATAGCCTCATAAAGGAAAAAGACAACTATAATATCTACAAAAAGTAAAGAAGATGGCTCACTAAGCCACGCAAGTATCAAAAGACAAAGGATGGCTGGCCTGTGACTGTAAGAGATTGTTTTATATTACACTATTACAGTCCAGGGTACAACACATGATATTTATATATTTTCCTAACCATAATGAATTTGACTCATGATCATGGGAACGTATTGTTCTTATTGGTTCGAAATATCTGTCTTGATTGGTTGGTGATCAAACAAAGACCAAGG